GGGGGGGGGGGGGGGGTACACCACGTGCGTAACGAGCGATCGCGTTTGCCGGGGGCCCCAAGGGGAGCACAACCAAGGAAGCGGGGCAGACAGACACCGAGTAGAGTAGGGGGGCACGAGGGTGAAAAGAAACTCAGACATGTGCGTGCGAGGGAGAAAACTCCAGAAAAATATAACATGAGGTATTCCATGGGAAGGCGGGTGAGCCAAGGAAAATTCGCACACCACGGAACAACGCCGGCAAGGTCGCCATCCCTTAGTTCTACCAGGGGCTCGAAGTAGCTCGCTATGGGTGCCAGCACGCGCTCCGTGGGCGCCTCTTACGAAGGTGGCGGACTACTCATCTTGTACCTGTCAGGGACAAATCGAAACGCCTGCTTGGTGCCTTTGCGCACGCGCGCAAGCGCACCCTGGGGTCGGCAAATAATCGGGGAAACGTCGGCATCGACGGCCTTTTCGTCGAGTGTACTTTCTATAAACGGAAGGACGTAGAGAACCAGTCTACACGGGAGCTTCATCAGGATATGTATGGTCAGTCCAAGACCCAATATCAACAATAGCGACACCCACTTCATGAATTGTTTCTCTGCACCCAGGTGGTTGTTCGCAAAACCGAAAGTACCGGCAAACGCCCTGTTTCCAGGTGCAGGTCCCTGTGGAAAGTTTTTTTTTTTGTCGATTTATTTGNTCCTCCGCAACAGGATCAGACTTGCATGCGAAAGTGCAGTGTGACTGCTCCCTTCCTACAAACTAGTTGCAGTAGGCGTGCGGATCGACATTCCGTCACATGCAATGGGCTCCCGTGCATTGCTTACGAATTGCGTAGTGATGGTGACGTTATGTTCCTGAAATATTATACGGTATCATGTTTTCCCGACAAGTCGATCCGTTTTGCGTACCACCACAGCTACTGCGTACTCTATACGGTATTAGAAGACGCATACCGGCAAGGAGTTGGGTTTTGTATGCCAGGTGGGGGTTGCACACCAACAATACAGGTGCACACCGCGGTTACCGTACTTGTCCACGGGTATACCCTAGACACCTGGGGAGCATGCTTTCGGTTTCGCGATGTTCGCTCTCGCGCAGATCGAATCGTGCCTGGAATATGCAGGCGGTGCTGTAACTTCGTGCTGGCGTAGCCCACTTGGACAGCAGCGCATGCTACAATCGGCAAGTGACCTACAGTACGCGATATTCCCGCAGCAGCACTGCTGCTACGGCGAACGGAGAATACCTCCGCGGCGGTTGTAAGCATCGTTCATGGATGTGCGGGAGCAAGCACCGTAGTATGGTACACTATGAACCAGTAGTTTTCTGCCTACACGTCAACCTTCTTGACAATTCGCTCTACATGTGTGTGTTTCTACCGCAACTGCCAAGACCATCAGCCTATAACAATACTACACCGCCCCCCTCCGCCTGTTGACGAAAAATAAACCGAAGATCTTAATAGAGGCGGGGCTTCTATTTCCCCGGCCGCCGGAGTGACGGGTACAAGAACCACAAGTAGTCGAGACCACGGCAGCACTGCTGTAGTGGGCCAGCATTTTACCTACACTACACCCATATGGGTGATGCGGCAAGCGGCACCCAAGCGAGCGGCCTCACAGCAGCGGAGAGGGCGAGGTCATTGGACGAGGCCGGCAATACCCAGGAAGCTGCCGTTCTGTACAAGGTGTGTACCTTATGCTTTTTCACAGTCACTTTCGCACATCGGTACGAAAGCCACTGGAAAACGGCTGTCCTTGGCTGTGCACGCCGAATGAAGTTGGGTTTACACGTTTTTCAAGAATGGTGCACCTGGTATTTCACGCGGTGAGCGTATGTGCCGTTGTCTTACGTATCGGTAGCGCAACACCGCATTGCGTTGGTTTATTGTTTGCCGAGCGCGATTCTCTCGTCCTTCAACAGTAAAATATTGCTTCCACAAGCGGTTCCAGGACTGCTTTTCATGCTTCTCAGGCGCTCTGGGCTACTGTAGATGTTGTCTGGCATGTTAACAGATGCGCCCTGCTTCTTTCAGGGTTGTTTCCATGATTGGCCGCCCTTCTGATTCTGTGTTTGGATAAGGGCGATGGCGACGACAATGATGATGCGCCAATTGGCCAATTGCCGAGTGCCGCCATCTTCCATCCAGCGAGGCTAGAGTTTCCTTCCAACACTTGTCGACTCCGACGAAAATCGTTCCATTAGTAAAAGTCTGCAGTTTCAACCCTCTGCGGTATCGACCGGTGGTGTAGAGAAACAGGAGTGTAGCGGCGGGCAGAACATCAAGTGTCTAACCCATGACCCTCGATGATTCTTGAGATTAATGCTTCATTATTGTTTTCGCTCTTGTGGATCATATACATAGGCTCGTCTTGGCGACAGGTACATTATATGTTTCCTGTGCTTGGTGGCGTGTTTCAGAAATTCGTAGTTCTAAGCAAACATCCAAAAGTCTCCGATTTTTTTCCTCCCCCGTCTCTATATCTCATCGACGATCACGAACACATCGCCTGCGCTAGGAGGACCCTGCAAGCGCCGAGCCTGTCCAATACGGTGCGTAAGCTCCTCTCGGACAGCATCGAGGAATGTGAGAAGAGGGTCACGGAGATTGGATTTCAGCAGGGTGGGGCAGGAGGGTTGCCGGACTACTTCGCGTATCTTCCGGAGGCACCGGCAACCAAGCCTGTCACGCAGCTCTCTACTGACGCCGGAGTATCGATAGGGGCCAGCAGGGCACCAGCGGCAGAGGGAGCGCTCTCAAGTGGGGGATACGCGAAGGTGGAAGAAGGTGTGTGCGTGGGACGGGAGGGGATAAGGTGGCGGGTGGAACGTACTTGGTGGAAAAGGTAACAATGAGTGCAGCGGCGGCACCAACTTTGTTGTTGGGTGAAACATGTACATGAATCGAGCAAGGGAGAAATGAAAAGAGAAAACAGCCTGCGAGTGCCCCTGTCACGAATATATCCCTGCGTCATTGCTTGGCCTACAGATGAGAAAAAGGGGACAGCGCACTAACCACGGCGACGGGGTTAGATGAACAGGGACAGAGGACGGGATGGGCACAGGCTGGGGCTAAGGATGAGGCGTTGGCTGCGTACATCCAGGCGGCAGAGGTGTGAAAGCGAATGTTTTGGGGGAGCACGGGAGAAGGCAATATTTGTTTCCCCGTTCGTACACACCTGACGTTGTTTCCGCGAGTTTCAGGACCCACGTTGCAATTTGAGAAAGCTTTTGGCTGCCGGTGGGTGGGTACCCAACACCTCCGTGTGAAGCTCTCCCTTGCGGAGGAATGGAACATTGGCGCTCAGAAGAAGGGTGGGTGGTATTTGGCGTCATGTGCGGCATCTACCTGTTGTGTGTTTCGTCATCAGGGCCTTTGCTGCACGACAAGCTCTCTCCACACGCCGTACAACCAGATGGTGTTTCAAGATCTTTGGCCACCGATATTTGCTTGGTTTCCTCGCGCGGAAGGGGGCCGGATGTAGAAAGTATAGACAAGTCTCGCGTGCGGGGCGATGCTGTTGTTGTGCCGTAGTGTGGGCGGCGTTTCGTGTTCTTACCACGACTAAAATGATACGCAGGCCTAGGCAGCAGAAGCGTGCAAGCTCTGAGCGAAAAGGACGGCCTAACCCTACCCCACTCTGCACTACTTGCTTGAGATACCCCCGGACTCGTCGGTGCTGACTAACTGAGGTTTTGTTCCACATGAAGGCATTTTGTGAAGCGCGTTGCCAGTTCCGTGATATTCTGTTGACGTGGTTGGGTGTGAACCCCTTCGTCACGCATCACATTCCCAGGCAACTACTAGACATTCCGATGTGCTGTCTGGAATCAGACTTTTGTTATTTCCCGTTTGAAGACTTTAACGAAAAACCTGTGGAAACACACTATTGCACACTTGGCAATTGTGGGCGAAAACGGGAAGCAAGCGCTCCTGGTGGGACGCTGTGTCTGGCACATGCAGTTAGCATTCCACCGTTGATAGTACCCTCCGCTTCCCCCGTCTCTGTTGCACGGCTTCACATACTCCGTGTCGCGCCTGAAAAATCTGGGTAGTACCCTCGGCTGTCGCTGACGAACAAACACGAAAAATCGCGACAAACCCCAGCTGAAGTACCTCCCGGCCTCTTACGCATCCCTCCCCGCCTTTTCGGTTACCCTGCCTGCATGCGTAACGCTTACGCCCCTTGCCTCTTGGGCCGTGGCATCGTGTGGTACGCACCCGTGTCCGTGAATACCCGGTAAACAACCGTGACTTTTCTTCAGCACTAATTCGCGGCGGTGATAGCGCTGGAGCGGCAGACTGGGGGGGGAGACGACAAGGACAGCGGCGCAAAGGTCATCGAGGCGAAGCTGACGAGAAAACAGACAGACGTGCTTTCGAGGGCGAAGGCTCTCAAGAATCTCAACGGGGTTGTGAAGGTGAGACGGTGACAAGTACGCTTCCGTTTTTTTTTTTGCGTCATCACCACGCATCGGTTGAGGTGTAAGTCAATAGAGGGGTTAAGGGCGTTCATGGCCTGCCGGGAGACAGTCATTCAGTTTTAATTTCAAGTATGTATGTGCATCAGCAGGAGAAAGTTTGCCTACCGGGAGGACGCGCTTCATGCATTCCCCAATTTCGGGTCCAAATGTTCGGTAGACGATGGGAACACCGGTTCGATTCAATGACCGGACAAGTGGTTTGATGACTTTTCGGATCGACTTCTTCGTTGGCACCAGAAAACCGTTCCGTCTAGAGAGCGTGAGTGCAGCAGCTTAAAACCCCGCGGCGGGAATGAGAAGTATGCACACATTCCCGGGGGTGGGAAAGGGAAAGCGCACTATAGGAGTGGCTGCCGGACACCAGCGGTACTCTTACATTTTTATCATCCTTTTGTGGGTCCTTTCAGATGCGTGTTCAGAATTTTCAGATATTCATCTTGCTCTTATTCCAGCCAAATATTTGTGGTTTTTAGGGCGAAAGTTGGCTGTGCACCGACCTTGCAAACAGTTGGTGTGAACGCTGCCAAAATCAATGGTATGTACAGCGTTTTGCGTTGTGCTGGGTAGGGTTCCCGACTGCTTGCAAGATAAGCAACACCGAGTCTGGTGTTGTTCAGCCGCTGTGTCGCGCGTCCCAACTCGAGGAGCTGACGTTTGCTAGCCACCTTTACGTAAGCTCTTCTTCTCTGGGTGCCAGTCTCACCCTGACTCGACCTATCAACTACCAGGTATTCGCGTTTCCGCCCCCCCCCTTACCACCACCTCAGCTGTGTCACCGCCTGAGCCACCTTTGGCAACGTAGGAAGGAAAGATTGGCCGTCGATGATTGGTCCTGTGGGGAACAATGCTCCGTCCTCTCGAAGACGCGAGGTCAATGGTCTAACAGCTACGGCATGCAAACATGAGTATGTCCACCAACCCCTGATGACCATATCCTCAAATGCATATCTTGTTTTGGAAACCTCAAGCCACCTCGACGCAGCAGCAGCAGCAGCAGCAACAGCAGCAGCAACAGCAGCCTAGGGAGTCAGTCGGCCGTCCAAGGTGTGTTGGGGGCTATGGTGAAAGGTCAGAGAACACGTATTCATAGTAGGTGTAGTTCTGTGGCTTTTTGGTTTGGTTGGTGTGGATGGGGTATATTCTGGAATGCTCGGCATGGTATGATATGGCTCGGCTTGTTTGGACGACGCTCGTCGGTAACCGAAGGTTTCATGGACCAAATTCATGTGCATCCTTAGCAAGCATACGTGTGCACGTCTTGTGATTTTTTATTGTGTCCCATTTTCGTTCAGACGTCTGATTCCATCTCGGCTCAGGAGCCCAAACCGTATCTCCAAAGGACCGACGGTAGGTTTTACCTCTACATGTGTGTGGACATGGGACACGTGGTACGGTTAGCACCACTCGCGGCCTCTCCTTATTTTACTTTTTGTGTCATTCGTGATGTTACGCCATGGGCAGCATCACCATCCTCATCGTCGGCATGTCCTATGATCGTCATTGAATGCACAAGTTTTCATCATGCTAGGAGACGTCGTGTGTGTGTTTTCCATTGTGAGAGGTCCCCGACAACGTACCCTCCCTAGGTGACCTCTCCAGTAGCACCACAGTCGTACAGCAACAGCATTCTGCACCAATTGGAGGCGCTTGATTGTGAGCACACCTGACAGGAGGAACTGAAGGATGCTTGTCGTGGAAGAAGAATCGGAGCGCAGCGTGCGACGTAGATGAATTTTTCCTCAGTGCCACGAGTCGGAGGTCTTCCTTGAAAACCGTACGGTTGGCTAAACAATTGTGAAACAACGACTGTTAACCGACGACCACAACTGTTCGACACGATGACTCAATCCATACGTGATAAAAACGGCGTTGTTTGCCTCCTATACTAGGACGTAGATCAGCGGTGAGGTCATCCCAAGGTGCCTTGTCGTCAGAGGAGGTCGAGGTTCTCAAGGAAAGCGCCATGGTTAACGGAAAGCTCGTCCTACCTTGGGTAGCGGAAGACCTACAGGTAAGAATGTTGCTGTTGATGCTATTCTCGAGGATCAGTCTGCTTGAAAATCTGAGAGGTTGCTGGTTCAGCCGAAAGCTTTCCCCTTCCCGGCTTTGCACGGTCCACTGCTTCGCCCAAACGATTCCAAAGTAAGTTTGACTGATGTTTCAAGCGTTCTTTATTCTTAGCTTCCGATCTTCGTCGCGTTTCTCCTTTTTTATTTCCTCAAATTCCTCCTACCCCTCCTTTCAGCGATAATTCACTTCTGGCAAGACTCGAACGGGTCCGGAAAAATGTGACCCACACATGCACGGACGATTGCTCGATTTTCGTCTTCCATTTTGTTTCCTCAGTAATTCTCCCTTCTTTCTTGAATTGTCTTTCTTTCTTTTCTTTTCTTTCTTTCGCTCCTTATTTTTTCCAGGAAAAGTTCGATTTTGACAAGCCGTGGAAGGATCCGGACGGCCATCTTCGGCTCTTGGGACGTCTGTCGGTAAACCTCATTGGGTGAGATGTAGAACTAGATCGAGAACTAGATCAAGAACTAGATCGCATCCCCCCAGAGAACGATTTCGAAGCAACGCGTGGTGTGCTTCGAAATCGTTCTCTGGGGGGATGCGATCTAGTTCTTGATCTAGTTCTCGATCTAGTTCTACATCTCACCCAATGAGGTTTACCGACAGACGTCCCAAGAGCCGAAGATGGCCGTCCGGATCCTTCCACGGCTTGTCAAAATCGAACTTTTCCTGGAAAAAATAAGGAGCGAAAGAAAGAAAAGAAAAGAAAGAAAGACAATTCAAGAAAGAAGGGAGAATTACTGAGGAAACAAAATGGAAGACGAAAATCGAGCAATCAATCGTGTTTGTTCGAAAGTTATCGCTAAAAAACAAAATGGACAAATTGTCCTGGACTGACCATACAGTCATGAGAGCTGCTTCGATATATGTTTTTTCTTCCGGGTACTACAGAGTACTTCGCGCGTCAACAGAATGATCGAATACAAGCCAACTACTGCTGTACTTCTCAAGATCATCGTTCCGACACGGATACAAAGGTTCGAAGGAACAAATGCGCATCGATGTTGAAGATACAACCAACAAAAAAAAGAGCACAATATACAAAAAAAAACATTGTACACATGATCACCGTGGGATTCTCACCTCGCCGTCGGCAACAGGTCCGTGTCCACGGCTTCCTTCAGGTGCCTGCTGGAGGCCCACAGGGCATCCGCGTCCCCACCCGAGGCGTCCCACGCGTCCCCGACGAAGCGCCGCAGTGCGCCAGACGCTTCCTTACGGCTGCGGCGCATCTCGAACGATTTCGGTGCTCCGAAAGCCCGCATCCTGTTCATGTTTTTGGCGTTGGTGTGTGGTTCACGTTGTTGTTACTGTTGTTACTGTTGTTGCTGTTGTTGTTGCCATGGCTGTTGAAGGCAAGTTTTCACGCACCATTGAATTATTTCGGTGAGAATGCCACGTCCAAGATAGTATTTACAGAGAAAACGCCGTAGGGTAGCGACAGCTACAGGCTGCGAGGGACGGCCAATGTTTGGGAATGACAACAATAATCAATACTTTGCAGGACAACCTAGACTTTTTTTTTTCTCCCGGAATTGGACTCTGTCGTCTGTCTCTCTGGCCCACATCCTCCACGTCTACTAGCTAGACGACCCAACCGGGGTCACATAGGCAGGGGGGGTTGGACCCCCTCCTGCGGTTCCTGCCTGAGATATTTTTATCGCGAAACGGGTACAGCAATCCCTTCCCTCGCGACTTATGAAGTCGATCAGAGCTTTGCAGCGCGTCGCTTCCAACCGGCGACCAGGATTTAATTAGTGAGAACAAAACTCACGCTGCCGGGACTCGAACCCATGACCTGGCCCTTAGCAGGCTGCGAGGCTGCCCACTAGACCACCGGGGCGACCGGTCTGTACTTTAAGGAAGAATAGCCGAGAGCAGGCTGCATACCAAAGCGCACTCGTTTACCAATGTATCTCCACGTCCTGAACCGCGTACATCCCACCCATCTGGAGCGGTGCATGGCACCCTTCCTTCTGCAAAAGCGACAACGACAAACGGTACACGGTCCCACACACAACCCTGGGCAACAAGGCGTACCGGTGAGAATTGCACCACCCCGCACCCTCGAAGAGGCAAGCCCATCCAAGCAAGACCTAGTCATGTGCGTATGCACAACAACAGGCCACTAGAACGTACTATTTTCACCTATCCATCTCGGTGTACGCAAAAAACAGGCCTATGCACAGCATTTTCCCATCTATTCATGTCGGTGCAAGGACAACAACAACCCTACGTACGCATGTTTTCCTTCTTTCGCATTCTTGCTGGGGCACGCGTATCGTAACCTACCTGCTCTTCGCCGGGTGCCGGTTGGAGACAGCGGTGGCCCTCGACGCGATGGACTCTGCGTACCTCTGAGGGAAGACCCCCTGCTCGCCGCCGCCGTCGTAGCCCTGGAAGACAAAGACGGGAAAAAACGACAAATCGATACATTGTCCTGAGAACGACAAAACAACGAACATTGGGGTTGTTTATTCCATTTCTCTTTAATGTACTTACAAATTTTTAGGGGTTGGAGAGGACAACAGAGACACACGAGTGGAACCACAGCCATGCCGTATGCCAAAACGCATAGGTTGTCATCGGCATGCCGTACTGGTAAACGCATGTTCCCGAGTTGTCAGCACTGTCGTCTTTCAAGTGGCATTCATGTATCGGTAACGTACTTCTTCCGATTGCTGCTGTATCATCCAGGCCGCACGAGTGCGGGTGTACTGCAACACCTCGAAAGGGGACTGGTAGCTTCACGACAAAGCGCCAACTCTTCGGTCCACGCAATAACGACCATGTCGACAAGACTAAACCAGAACATGTCACCAGTTCTACAGCGGTAGAAATAGCGCACAATATTTCACAGGTAAAATGATTCGTTCAAGGCTACCCCTAACCCGAAGACCGCAGTAAACCTATACAGTTCCGTCGAAGACCGTGACCTATTCGTCTACCATTGACTAAGTGAGACGGCGACGACAGAGAAGTTCGACGACGAAAGCAGCCACCGATACGACCAACGCGCAACGACTAACTCACTCTCGAGGAGTCGAACATCCTGGACGCGAAGACGTCCGCATCGGAGAAGTAGCCGAGCCCTTGCGACAGTTCTGTCGAGAAAGCAGCAAAAGCGACGTGGGAAACAAAACTAATGCCAAGACCGGCTGGAACAAAAAGGGAATTATTCTCTTCGACACCGCATCAAAGCTCTTCGGGGACGGAGGCAGCATCACATGGTGGGTAGGTAAGGAATTACGAACAGCAGCTGTTACAATGCTGCGCGCGCAGCAATGCTGTGCACAATGCTGATGCTCGTGTCACTCCACAATCGTCCATAAAGCGATAAAACAAGGACATAAATACACTCAACACAAACATTACTCGCGCTACAACCCCCCCCCCTCTCTCACCGCTCTCATCCGTGTAGAAATCAACGCAGTGGTACTGCAGGAACGCCAACGCCCAGTCCAGCTCCATCCCGCCCTGCGACAGCACCTCCTCCGGAACGAACGCCAGGGGGCCCCGTCCCTCAACGCCACCATCACCACGCTCCCCCCCTGCCCCCGTCGTCGGCCAACCACCCGCTCCGTCAGAATCGGGCGGGTTGCGCTTGGCATACAGCAGCTTCCCGAGCGCGTGGAACTGCGTCAAGAACGTGTCCCTCTGCCCGGTTCCGCCCGCCGCCGCCCCCACCGCGCAAGACTTGGAAACCCCGGCTCCTCGTTTCTTCCTTCCGCCTAGCCCCGCCGCCGCCGCCGCCGCCGCATCCGCCGCCGCCCCTGAAAGCATGGCTTGGCCACGTCCTCCGTTGGAACGCCCGACAGCGGCGGCGGCCTTGGCGGCAGCGGTTGAGCCACTGCGGCCCCTGCCGCCGACACTCATCTGCAGGTTCAGAAGCGCGTGCCGTATGTCCCCTGATTTTTCGTTCGGGTTCGGTGAAAGCGGGCGGGTCAAGATTCGGGTTCGGGGTTACTGGGGTTACCGGCGGGTATCGCATGACCCCTGCTTCTTTCGTGCGTTGTCGAACAGAACAGGCTATAGGACGATAGGACGAGCATACCAGCCGAAGGGACGAACAGACCGGAGCGGAAACGGGAAGTGCTAACTTCAGATAGCACTGAAGCGCTCTAGGTGTTGAGGTTACCCCGCCGCCCTCTCGTGCACCACAAAACGGTACTCGCGAAAAGGGGGTGCATATTGAGGGAACAGGGCCGCCACCGTGTGTACCTTTTCGCGACGCCGGACGGCACGAACCGAACTAAGCCATGTTCCGTGTCAGTCCCGGCACTCCTTTTCAAGGAAAAACAACAACAACAACAACAACAACAACAACAACCTGGTAGGAGTAAGTGGAGGACCATAGAGGGGATACTGGGTGGGAACCCCCCCCCCCCGCCCCCCCCCAATCTGTCGGGCCTGAAAGAAGTGTTCAGCAAGATGCGCGGTCACCACACCCACCTGCACAAGTGGTGATGGCGCTCTGCACAAGCGTTCCCTTTGGGTCCGACACGCCTTCCAGTGCCAGAACTCCCTTCAGATGCTGCCGCAGAAGCGCTAAGGAAGCAGAAGGCGGGGGACAACAGACAGGACGGCACCGGAGCGTGCTTTGATTCAGCACCAACGAGCCACGGAAAATGATCGAGCGTGCCTAACGCCCTTGTCGCGCTGCTAACGTCCAGGGCATGCGCCACTACATAGCAGTACTTCCTCTGTGCTCAATTCTTGTACAGGAGCGCTTAATCTAAGAAAGACGAGACCACGTACGGTGCGCAGCTACTGCTTCTGTAGGGACAGAAACAACGGCGGCATGGGACTCAAGCTGACGACATGGCAAACAAGCATGAAAGGAACACACGCAAAGAGAACACATGCGTCTCCCACACAATCAGAGACTGAATGCTGTGGTGCTGGCACGGTGAGATTCCTCGGGCCAACCCCTATCAACGCGTAGAAGGGTCGCGGTTTTGCATAGGAAAGTCCCGAACATGTGTCTCTTTCCCCTGTATAGTGGTAACAGACCGCCGAAGTAAACCTTCTGCATAATTTACATTCGTGTTAACTTGCGCCCCGAGTGTCCCTACGTCAGGTACATCATGGATAGGCCGTTGAACGCTGTAAGGAAATACTTCACCGTAAGCTAGCATCTAGATCCTCGTCAAAATGAACACGCGTACATCGAAGCACTCGCAAAAAGCGACAATGCCAAAACAGCTGCTGTGCGTTCCGTGCCCACTGGCGTTCTACAACGCTCGGTTCGTCAGTTATTTTTTCCAAGTTCCGGTTCGGAAAGCCAAGCGCGATAGACAACACGACCCGCACTCTTCCCGCGCGCGCGCTCGGAGGCCCTGGCAGAACGGAGGAGTTGTGGTGACTAGGACAGGCGTTTGACTGGGGGAGGGAATACATAGAAAAAAAACGGCGCCAAGCAGTGAAATAATACAACCAACACCCGAACAACACCACCAAAAACATGTCCCTGACGCCACAATCAGTCAGAGCCAACACACTGGGACCCTGTGGGTCAAGTCAACAAACGAGAGTATCAGCGCATGATCTCTGCTGGACGCTCTCACTGGCATTTATAGGGTTGCACGTGGTGATCTGCACCCCGGGCATCCTGAGGGTCTCGCGGGAGAGCACCTGCTCCAGCCTAGACTGGTAAGACGCCGACTCCGAAGCCTGCCGGCAAACAATATAAGGCGGGGCGGGGGCTACTAATGAGAAAACGCGCACGCCACCATACAATGCCAAACCACGGCATGAGCCATCACCAAACACCGGCGGCTTCGTTCCCCAATCAACCCAAGGCATATCTGGTTTGGCACAGCAAATGCGAGGAAGATGACCAGCTCGCGGTTCATCCTTGTGAAACGAAACCTGGACCGGCGAAAACCCGGCATATCGCTCCGCCCCGGCAGCGCATGGATGCGAGGAGGTAGGTCAACGCTCTGATGACTACGGCATGCGTTTGCACTAGTACACCCTCCCCACACACCCACAACGGTAACCTACCTGGCTCCAGCAGATGATCACGGGGGAGGGGCTCGAGCGAGCGCACTCCGCAATCAGGCTCCTCATCCGCGCCTTTTTCTCTTCCCCGCACACCTCGGGCAGCTCCTCGATCAACACCACACGCCGCCTCTTGCCACCACCGCCGCCTGCGCCAGCGCCGCCGCTGCCGCCAACGTCGCTGGCGCCCGCCCGACTGCCAGCGCCGGCACCAGCTTTGCTTGGTTTCACGGCGAGTACGGACAGCGCGCGGTAGGAGGACCTGTGGAGCGCATGTGCGCGCAGGAGGGGTGGGGGCGGTGAAATGTGTGCGGAATGCAAGAAGCGGAGGGGG